ACTCGTACATGTCTTGTTTCATCCAGGCATGTCTCCGAATATGTGTACGAAACAGAGATTCCAAGATCTTTGGATCGGGTGCTTCTCGGCACTCCAAGAGTAAAGCGTCCCAGTCAGTAATAAAACGTTGCAAATCTTCATCTCTCATCCTCAGTTCTTCAAGGCGCTCGACGTCGTGCAGGTCGTCATCAACCTCTGTCACTTTGTAGGACTGTAGGATGTGCCAGTAGATCTGGCGTCCTTTTGAGCATGCGTCCTGCTTTGTGCTCTCTGGTTTCGATGAGCCTGATTTGGTAGCGGAAGTCTGAGGATAAGATGTCGCTCAGAGCGGTAGCGAGTTTGCAATCGATGCTCAAAGTCTCCACTGTCTTGTAAGTCCTCGAAGGCACACTCGGGCTGTTCAGCCACGCATAGGAAGGCATATGCTTTGGATGGTCGCCCTGAGGCGGCCCCAAAGTTCTTCCGCACCTTTTGCTGCCACTCGAGCAGCTGCGTGATCTTAGGCAAGACAGGGACTCGGACGGTGCCTGACTCCTTGATAGGAGTTGTAGTATGGACCGAAACCGCAGACAGTGGTTGTGAGGGTATCGGTACACCGTCAGTAGTCGGTTCTGTGCGCACGGGAGATACATGGCGTGTCTGTGCAGAAGCTGCCGCAGAGGCTGCTCCTGGTGACGTACGTCGTTGTTGTCCTGCAGAAGCTTGTGGTGCTTCAGCGGACGCTGCCGTCGGCCTGTGCAGGTCGGTTGCAGGTCGAAGGTGGAGACTGGTGTCGTTGGTGTGGTCGATCAGCTGATTCGTCCAGCTCGTCATGTCTTCGTGTATTTGGGCCACCTTTCGGCGCGTGTACTCATCAGTATCCCGAGAACGTTGTGAGCATCGATCAAGTCGTTGCTCGTATGCTCGGAGACGGGCGCCTTGCGCCTCCAGCTCGCTTTCCAGACGTGCGAGGTGCCCCTCAACACGTACCTTCTCAGTATCTCTCTCACGAATAACCTGGGAGAGGTCCAACTGCGTGTGGTCCGCCGCCTTCTCAACCTCCTGCAACCTGTCAGCGAGGCGGGCGAAATCGTGAACCGTGGGAAGAGAATCCAGCTGATCAGTCTGGGCTCGTCCGACACGCAACTCTGCCAGGGCGTCCTGCACGCCAGGAAAACGCTGCTCGATGTCAGAGATCCGGTTAGCGAGTGGCTGCACGACAGCGTTGGTCGCATCAAGCCTTTGAGCGATGACTCTCTCAGTACGTTGCAACAGATCGATCAGGTTCGACGAGTTGGCGTGTACTTCGTTGCGAAGCGTCGCCGTAGTGTGGTCCATGTGGCATCGAAGGTCATTGATCTGAGACTGAACGTCACCAAGGTCGGTGGCCTCGGCTGGTGGTGGTCGGTTGCGGAGCTGGTCGTGGATCTCATCGTGTAGGATCCTGACTGCTGAAACGCCTGCGTCGCGTACGAGCACAAGCTGTTGCTCCATCTGCGCTAGGTAGTTGCGCAGGTTCTCGACCATCGCCGTTCGTTCACCTGAGTGTGACACCTCACGATCAACCTGGTACTGCAGCTCTCCTATGATGCGTCGATCTTCGGCAATCCTGGAATCGATGATCCCTAAGGCGCCGTCAAGATCGTGGCGTATGGCTGCAGTGTCGGCGGCGTTCGTCTGAACGCTCTGCAGTAGTCCAGAGTATTGCCTGGACACGAAGGTTTCAACCTGGTCTCTGAGCTCAGCTATTTCACCTGCGGCGGACGTTTCCGCCAGCTGGTCGTCTGAGATGGAGAGGTGGGGAGCGTAGGCTTCCCTCTGCCCCCTCTCGCGAGGAGTGCTTGGCCTCTGAGAGGCTGCACGCAGGCTCGACCTACTCTCGCCGCATGGGCCTGGGGCCCCACGACGGTTGCGCGCGGACGAGCTGCGACTCGGACCATGTGTGTGTGGTGTCTCATCCGATGATACCTTGGGATACTGCGTCTGCGGCTGTGCCGCCACTGGTCTACTGAGTTCCTCGAAGGTGGCTACGTGCTCCGCAACGGGAACGGTCGCAGGGCTGGGGTACCAGCACCTGAGGTCCATCGGCGGTTAGCGCGAAAGCGCCCTGGAGTATCAGGACCAGTGAGGCTTTCGCCTGACGCAGTTGGGATTGCTCCCGACTGAGGAGGAGATGGAGGATCGAAGGTAGGCGTGTGAAACTCCTTCCTTCCTGTTCCTACTCCTTCTCCTGCCCCCCCGCGGGCGGCGCTGCGGTGAAGTTCAGCAGCTAGCCGCGCCTCGGGTCCGTCGGAGCTGGGGGGGGTACCTGGGACACCGACACAGTCCGCACTAAGGCTCTCCAACTCATCACCGAGCCGTCGCGCCGTCGGAGAGCTCGGACGCGAGGCCCCGATGGACCCTTTACGGCGCATGCGCCGCTTGGGTTCCATCGAGGCCGCGTGCGAGGTCACGACGCGGGGTTCGATGGACAGTGAGCTTTAAAGGGCTGATAACCTGTGTATGGGGTTGAAGTACAAGGGTACAGAACCCCTGATCCGTTGGTAGAGGGAAGGAGGGATAGATGGATGTCTTCCCCTCCTGCACGATCAAAGGTATGATCGATCCGTCCCAATACCTGAGCCCAAACGGCCAGGCGCAGGAGAGGTGAGGATAAGGAGTATGTATGAGGGTATTACACGGGTTCTATTCACACCTACTGGTTGGGCTGAAAGGGGTGAACATACATTGGGCTAACACACGTCCTGAGGATCAGCCAGCTTCCAAGCCCCACCGGGCCCTCTCGGAGACCTCTCCTGGAGCCCACTGCGCCGGACCTGGGGGGCCTCAAGGGGCTCTTTCTGGGCCGTCTTCACCGTCCTTCGGGCCACCGACGGCCGTCCCAGATGCCTCTCCACCTCTCTCCGAGTCTCATACGCCAGAAGCCCCCCTCTCAAGCAAACAAACATCGTAAAACACATGGGCTTCTGACGAGCATGTCCGTATCGGGCTGTTCCTGGCGCCTCTCTTCGAGCTCCTGTGTATCTCCGCGGGCTCCTGCGGCCATCGTGGCACATGCGGATGCTCTCGGCGGCCGTCCTGACAGCCTCTCGGGGCCCTCCTCGGCCGTCTGGACGCCTTTTTGGCGCTGTCCTGAACCGTCTTGGGCGCGCCCGGGGGGCCCCTGGAGGCCCTTCAGAGGCCCCAAATCTAACTGGCAATGCTCCTTTCTGCCTCTCCATACCTCTTCGGTTTCGTCCGCAATTGTCCACACCTTCGGGTGCCTTTCGGGGCTGTTTTCGCAGCCTCTTGGGACCCTCTTCGACATGTCTCTGGCATCTTTGGAAGCCCTCTGGGGCCGTTTTCCACCCCCCTCGCCCTCTGGGATCATTCCATTTGCCAGTTTGGTCGCGTTCTGGGTAAGCCTCTGGGGCCGTCTTACACCCCCTCTCGCCCTCTGGGACCAATTCAATTGTCTTCCTGCTCCTTCACCCACCCTCCCAAAGTCTCCACTTCTTTCCCAAAAACCCACGATCCAAAGAAAGTGGGGCGGCGGTGTCTGCCCCCCCAGCGGAGTTCAGTTGAAATTCGCCGGCCCAACGGCCGAAGGCCGTGCTAAAATCTCCAGTAACTGGCAACAATACTTCTAGATCGCGCGCGCGGGGGGCCGCCCCTGGGGGTCCCCAGACGAAAAAAGAATACCCCCGCAAGTCCCAGCCAACCCCTGGCCAACCCCAGGCCAAACGCCGGCCGGGTGCCGGGTCCTGGCCGGGTCCCGGCCAGGTCCCGGTCAGGTCCCCGCAGGCTGCCAAGAGCCTTCCAGGTGCGCTTTAAGTGGCCTCCAAGAGAGCTCTCAACATGACCCGAGATGGCCCACGAGGGATCGAAGACGCCAAAGATGGCCTCCAGACTGCCCAAAGCGCCTGCAAGACGCGCCAAGAGGCCTCCAAGATACCTCCCCAGAGGGCCCACAGAGGCGGAGTGATTTTCCTTCAGTTTCTGTGGGTTTGGGGCGTTCTCGCCTTTTCGGCTTACCGGCGCTCCAAGACGGCCCAAGAGGCTTCCAAGACCGCCCCAAGACGGCCCACGAAGCCTCCAAGAGGGCCCCAAGACGGCCCAAGATGGCCCCAAGACAGCCCAAGAGGCGCCCAAGAAGGCCCAAGAGAGCCCCAAAACGGCCCCAAGAGGGGCCCAAGAAGGGGAGACCAGGAACCGAAAAGTCCTGTCTTCAGCCCCAACAGGCCCCCAGGAGGCCCCAAGAGGCCCCCAAGAGGCCCCAAGGGGCCCCCAAGAGGCACCCCAAGAAGCCCCAAGAGGCCCCAAAGAGGCCCCAAAGAGGCCCCAAGAGGCCCCAACACGGCCCCCAAGAGGCCTCAAAACTGCCTCCCAAAGGCCCCTGAGAGGCCAACCACGAGAGCCCAACCAACATCCGTGAGGCCTCTGACCCGCCACCCACCGCCTCTGAAAAATGGCAGCCGCCCAACTGCACCGCATTGACAACAACACCCCGACAAACGATAGCGGCGAGGCAATATGGACCGGCGGAATGAGCGAAGCGATTAAATAACTTGATTTCGTCAGCTGCTCAGACGAGGCAGAACCACGCAATACAATGATACCAGCGCAAAATCAGGATGGTATCAACTGGCGGCGAGCGCGGGGGGGAAGTGAGAAGGGGCGGGCCTTCTCAAAAGGCTTGAAGGTCCTCCGGCCTTCCGAGAAGTGCTCTGAGCCTTCACCGACGACACACCGAACTTCTCAGAAGGCGCGAGGGCTTCTGAGAAGTCCCGCCGCCTTGCCACCTTCTGAGAAGGTCTTCTCCTTCTCACTTCCCCCCCTCGCTCGCCGCGGAATCCAAAGCACCGCGATCGGAAAGTGCAGGGCCGACAGGGGAGAAAGCCACAGGATGCCATGGCAAGGCAGGCGACGACCAGAAAATTCGGCACGCAGGTCTAGAGGAGGGGGACCCCAAACGAGGCACACAAGAAGCCTTGGGAAACCAAGCGGCGAACATAAGTGCGACATCAGAGAACAAGTGAGAGCCCCTAACTGCAAGCACTGTTTAGGCAGTTCGCCTTGATCGTGCCAGATCGGCATCGCACATCCATCCCTATACACGGCATTGATTTGCACCCATTTGCATCCTCTGTGTTTGAATGCTGGGACTGGTCAAAAAGGCGCGTCACCGTCTCCCCGCAGACGTAGCACTCCAGCGGGATGAAAGCAACATCTCGCACCAGAGCATTCACGTACGTGTCGTGGGTCTTGACGTAAAAGCGGTCTGCACAGAGATGCATGTCAACAATGCTGATACTCGACCAATGTCCCTCCGAGTCACAAAGCCCCATGCCACCCCCATCAAAAATTGCAGCTGGTTCCTCACCTGCAAAAGCTGTGGCGGTGCAAGGGAAAGTGCAACGCAAAAAATGGTGGCACCAGGAATGAAATAGAGTGTTCACCATTTGAAAACAGAATCGGAGGTTGGGGGGTGTGAACGGAAGTGACCCCGACCTGGAAATCGGTTTCGGTTTCGGCTCGTGTCGTGCGTGCGGGCGAGGCGAAGCTACGCGAGTTCCTGCACTGGAAGGAGCCATCTATTGCCAAAAAGGCCGCCCCCCGAGCGCCGGGCGTGGCCCCCAGTTGTCCCGGCGGTTGTCCCAGCGGTTGTCCCGATGGTTGTGGTTGTCCCGATGGTGGTCCCGATGCTTGTCCCGATGTTTGTCCCGATTCTTGTCCCGATGCTTGTCCCGAGGGTTGTCCCGAGGGTTGTCCCGACGGTTGCCCCGATGGTTGTCCCGATGGTTATCCCGATGGCTGTCCGGATGGTAGAGATATATATATATGCCTGTATTCATATATATATAGAGAGTTTGATATAAATGTATAATATGTATAGGTGTGTATATGTAGTTAGATCGGTAGATTGATAGTTGTGTGTATGTATGTATGTATGTATGTATGTATGTATGTATGTATGTATGTGTGTATGTATGTATGTATGTATGTATGAATGTATGTATATATGTATGTATGTATGTATGTATGTATGTATGTATGTATGTATGTATGTATGTATGTATGTATGTATGTATGTATGTATGTATGTATGTATGTATGTATGTATGTATGTATGTATGCGTGTGTATGTCTGTATGTGTGGATGCATGTATGCATGCATGCATGCACGTATGTATGTATGTATGTATGTATGTATGTATGTCTGCATGTATGTGTGTATGCATGTGTGTATGTATGTATGTATGTTTGTTTGTATGTATGTGTATGTATGTATGTATGTATGTATGTATGTATGTATGTATGTATGTATATATATGTATGTGTATGTTGGCTGATGTATTGATTGATTGATTGATTGGTAGACTGATTGATATGTAACTATATAAACGGTTGTCCTAGATAGATAATTACAGAGACAGGTCGATGGATAGATGGGCAGATGCGCCCGACAATAGGAATGGTGAAGAAACCACCGCAGAACCCAGAGCCATCGCAAATCGACCGCCTGCCCCCTTCCCCCCCCCAAACAAACAAATACTCCTTATCACCCGCAGGGTGGTCCCATCGGTGGTTGCTTCTCGTTGCGATCCTCCCCAAACCCAAACAAAACAGAGAGGCAGGCGGACGGACCAACAACAGTCGTGGGAAGACTGCTCGCTCTGAGCTGCTCGCGCGTCATTCGACGCGCATGCCCCGAGCCCTCGATGCCCGCCCTCTTCGCTTTCGATCGTACCCCCTCTGGGGCATACTCTCCTCGCCCCAAGCGAGAAGCTGGCGCGGCCCCTGAAAAACAGGAGGGGAAACGACGAGGAGGAGGGCGAGGAAAAGAGAGGAAGAGGCGAGAAGGAAAGGGGGGCAAGAGTGAGGAAGGAGGATTGAGGGCGAAGAGGATCTGGCAGGGGAAGAGGGATCGGGGGCGGCCAAGAGGGGGGCGTCCAAGAGGGGGGGCGCAAATCATGGCCGAAGGCATGTGCGCGGCCCAGCGGGGGGGGGGGCCGGGGACGTATTGAAATAAGGGGCGCCATGAAATTCGGGGAGGTATCATGGCCCCCGCCATGATATCCACCCCCCCACTAGTCATCACCCCCCTCTTGGCCGCCCACGATGAGAGAGGAGCAATCATTCTGGCCAGCGGGCCCTGACGGGCGCGTCGGGCGGGCGGACCCGGGCGGGCTGGGCGGGCTGAAGCGTTCAGGCGGGCGGCAGGGCGTCCCGACACGGCAAGCCGGGCGGACCAGCACGGGCAGGTCGGGCGGGCAGACACCGACGGGCGGGCCGGGCAGGCGGACCGTCACGGGCGGGTCGGGCGGGCGGACCCTGCTCCGGGTTCCTCCATAAGCATGGCGGGGTATCCCCTCCGACGGGGGTCAACCTCGGCGCCGCGACGGGGGTCAGAGCGCCTTCGGCGCGCGGTGGCTGCCCGCGACGGGGGTCGATGCGGGGCTGTCGGCGGGGCTGACGCCCTCCCGACGCTGATTAAGAAACTCGGAGCAACGAGCGGGTCGGGCGGGGCATACGGGCTGGCTTTTTTTCTCTACTCCCTCGAAGCCAGCCCGGCCGGGTCACTCCATGCAGCCAAAACCTGCGCCGGCTGGAACATCGCGCAACGCTCCCGCAACTCCCCACCCCCCCGCTCGGGCCAAAAGCGGGATAGAAGCACAACGTAACATGCCGACCTGTGCCGTGACATCGCTCACGGTGAGGTCCCCAATACGTCACGATCGCTCGCACCAGTCTGGACACATCCTCACAAGCGCAAGTATGAACACATTCATTCTCTACTGTGTACAGCCATGATACTCTCGCATCCTACTGCAATGCCCAAAACCTATGCACACAAAGATGCCCAGAAGCTCTGCATAAAGAAATGCCCAAAAAGCTCTGCACACAGAAATGCCCAAAAACTCTGCACACAGAAATGCCCGAAAGCTCTGCACACAAAAATACCCAAAAACTCTGCAAACAAAAATGCCCATAACTCACATTACGGTACGGGGCCGCTTGTCCACTGGCTGTGGTTGGGCAGAAACCTGTGGGAAACGAGCCAGGCTGTATTCATACAGTATCTCCCACTGCCCCTGGCATACGGCGACCCCGTGTAGAAATTCCACGGCCCGCAGCATTGCCGTTGTCTCCGCCCTCAACGCAGTGCCACCTTCCCCAAAATACAGCTTCGCGGTACATATCCCTCTACTTCATTGTCGTCCCAGATCCTGTGCATCGCACACGCACATACATCCCTCCTCCCATAGACCCCTCCCTGCACACACTATCCATCTGCACCCACACGGGCGGGCGGACTCTAACGGGAGTGACGGACGGGCGGACTCTAACAGGCTGGTCGGGCGGGCGGGCCTTAACAGGCGAGTCGGGCGGGGGAGGGCATGGAAGCGAAGTTTGCAAATTGCGACGAGACTTCAGGCGAAAGCACGAGTCCTGAGTATATTACACGGAAGTCTCGTGCGAGCACGCGATTCCTTGACGTAGAGCGCGGCGCTTGAGTACATTGCCAGGAAGTCCTGAGCGAGAGCGCGATTCCTGAGTGGACTCTAAGAAGTCCAGCGCAAGAGCACGATTTTGAATAAACTGTGAACGACTATCAGGCGGGAGCCGTTGTGGTTAGAGTCTGGGGGCTAGGGGCCCAGTCTGAGGCTCAAGGCCTTCTCTGGTTCAGCATCAGCGTCAGCATCAGCCAAGTCAGCGTCATCATCATCATCATCAGCATCATCATCATCATCATCATCCTCATCCTCATCCTCATCATCATCATCATCATCATCATCATCATCATCATCATCAGCAGCAGCAGCAGCAGCAGCAGCAGCAGCTGCATCATCATCAGCAGCATCAGCATCAACATCATCATCGTCATCATCATCATCATCATCATCATCATCATCATCATCATCATCATCATCATCATCATCATCACCATCATCATCATCAGCCTTACCATCATCAGCATCATCATCAACCACAGCATCAGCATCATCATCATCGTCTGCAGCATCATCAACTTCATCAACAGCATCATCATCATCAGCATCATCATCAGCAGCAGCATCATCGTCATCATCATCATTATCATCATCATCCTCATCATCATCACCAGGAGCATCATTATCAGAATCAGCATACTCATCATCATCACCATCAACATCATCATCACCACCATCATCATCGTAAATGTCACTGTGATCATCATCGTCACCGACGTCGTCGACATCTGCATCGGCAGCGAAAGCATCGTCGCCATCATCCACCCATCCCCCTCCCACGTCGTCCTCCTCCTCCTCCTCCTCCTCCTCCTCCTCCTCCTCCTCCTCCTCCTCCTCCCTCCTCCTCCTCCTCCTCTCCTCCTCCTCCTCCCTCCTCCCTCCTCCTCCTCCTCCTCCTCCTCCTCCTCCTCCTCCTCCTCCTCCTCCTCCTCCTCCTCCTCCTCCTCCTCCTCCCTCCTCCCTCCTCCTCCTCCTCCTCCTCCCTTCCCGACCCCTCCATCCCCGCCCCACCTGGCCTATCTCGTTGCTCACCTGCATCTCGCCGCTGGGCGCGGGCCGGGCCGGCCAGGCGCCCGTCGGCGCCGGGCGCGCGCCGCTGGGCCGCGCCGGGGGCGGGCGGGCCGGGAAGAGCTTGAGCCCGACATCTCGAAGGCAGTGCCTGCCAGTGTGTAGCCGGGGGGCTGGTGTGCAGGGGCGAGACGAGAGACGAGGCGCTGCAGTGCGCGCCGGGGCGCGACCTTCTCGAGGCCGCAGCGGGGGGGGCCGTGGCCCCTCAGTTGTCCATGGGGGAAAAGACGTTCTTGAACTCGGTGGGCTCACCCCAGGGCTGCTTTGTCGGCCGTTCGAGCTCTGCTCTGTTGATGTGCCAGGAATGGATGGAAACAACACTTGTTCTTTACAGCTCGGGCGTTGTCGTTGCAGGGTGTTTTTCGGCGGCGAGCCCGGGGAGGAAATGAGAAGGGGCGAGCCTTCTCAGCAGGCTCGGGAGTTCCCCGGCACTCTGAGGAGTTTTCCAAGTTTTTCCCCGAAGACACCGAAGACTTCTCAGAAGGCGCGAGGGCTTCTGAGGAGTCCCGCCGCCTTCTGAGAAGGCCTTCTCCTTCCCCCCTGGGCGCGCCGCCGAGTTCAGTTTTCCCGCCATAACTCGGGCCTCCGGCGGCAACTCGGGACCATCTGGTCATCCCCGGAACGCTCTCGGCGAAGCGCAGCCGCTGGAACGCATCCCGAGCACGGAGAAACGGCAAGAAGCTGCCAAACCGCCCGAAAACCTCGAACCTCGAACCTCGAACTTCCCCCCCTCGCTCGCCGCCGATGCACGGCTCGGGGCGCCGTCGCCGCAGCGTGCCTGGCCGAGCGAAGAGCCGCCGCCGCGAGCCGGCGCCTGGGCCTGGCCGAGGCCAGGCGGAGGCTGCGCCGCGGGCCCCCGGAGTCGGGCCTGTCTGTTGGGTGCTGCCAGAAGTGCGCCCCCCCCCCACGT